TTTTTTTTTTTTTTTTTTTGGTACCGGGGATCGAACTTGGGTCCTTGTGTTTGTGAGGCAGGCTGTGGAACCACTGAGCTAAATCCCTGGCCCTACACAGTTGCTTTCATGGCATTATATTTATTCCTAATTACACTTTTACTAAGTGTAGGCAGTTAGAGTTGGCAGAGTCTGAGTCCTTGTAAGAAGAAATTTTTGGTCTTATTGTGGTATTGCAAAGGGTGAACACACAAAAATGAGTATACAGATTCTATCACAGTGTATTTTTAACTTGATTTCTGATCCCAAGATGTAAAGCTTACACAAGCTCTGAGAAGCTGAGCCGGAGGGTGAGACTTTCATGACAAATTGATCTTTATCTAGAAAATCTAGAGTACTTGTTAGTTCCACTAATGGGTTCTACCTTTACTCAAAGAGAGGTTAGAAATTCTCGTTTTCTGGCTTCATTGTCTTTCTTGAGATAGAAAAATAATGAAGTAGGATTGAATCTTAGCTTGAGGAAGCTCCTTGTGATGTAGCATCTCTCTGAAAAGAACTACAGGGATGGACATAGGCAAGTCCAACAGATGTGTTATTTATTTCATAGTCCCTTTTGATGGGGTGTGCTTTCTGGTTGTATGATAGCTTATTCTGTGATACATACCAGACTGTCCCTATTACCAGCGTTCTGATAAAGGACACTTTGAAATAGCCAGTTTTGCTTTAGCGTATGCTGTCTTTTACCTAGCACAGGATCAAGCAAACAGGCTTTTATTAAGTTTTTTTAAAAATTTAAAATTAGAAGCTTTAATGCTTTTGAATTATGATGAGGCGTGTATTTAGCATTGCTCTCAGACGCGTCCTACTTTCTTGGAGGAGGGGGCATCCTATGTATGCAAAGAGACCAAAGTGACATGACTTATTTGGGACAATCAAGCTAACTGTAAAAAAAAAAAACAAAAACAAAAAACAGCCACAGAATTTGAACGGTGTTTGGATATTGGAGACTGGAATTACTGTCAGTTTTTAAGGCAGGATGATTTTCCTGTCTTTATGTTTTCCTTGGTGTGTGATATCATTTATTTTTATTTATTGCAGTATTGGGGGCTGAATGAGGGAAAGCTGAGCTATATCCCCACCTATTTTTGTTTTGAGACAAGGCCTTGCTAAACTGCCCAGGCCGACCTCCAGTTTTCAATCCTCCTCACCCGCCTGAACTTTGGAGATTACAGGCTTGTGGCACCCCGCCTCGCACGTGGATTGTTAAGTGACACATAGTAAACTGTTTTCCAGTGAAATCACTTCTGGCCTGGTGGTGGCACAGTCCACGGGGCCATTGCTGAGGAGCTGGGTGAAATAAGATTGCTGAGGGTAAAGCTGAGTGATTGAACGCAGGGTTTCTCTGTTCTGTTTTCTGCTTCTGTCCACGAAGTTTCACATGTGAAAAACAAAAAATGTTTCCATCTCGTTTGCAGAAGTGCATTGTACAACTAGAACAAAGGGTGCTTTTGATCATTTCCTTGCAAGATTTCTGGGACAGTTTTTGTAATATTTTTTCATAGCTTCTAAATTATTCTTTTAGCTTTTATACTGCATCTGATTTTGCTTCCACATATTCTTTTTTTTTTCCCACATAGTCTTAATAGCTCACTTTATATGTCCATAGTCAGTCAGGATATAAAGTGTTGTTTTTACTCTCAGGGTTTATTTTAATACTTTCATTGTTTTTATTTTTCCCCGTGATTATGAAATCCAAAAACAAGAGGATTTTCCTGTTCTTCCACTGTGAAAATATTGTTTGTCTTATCTAACAGCAGATGGTGACCCTTGACTTCTCTTTTTCCTCCCTTTCCAGTTCTGTCTTTTTTTTTCTTTTTTCTTTCCAATTCTGCCGATACATGCACATTATTATGTGTCTTACTTTTGAGGCATTTATTGGCCAAAGGGAAGGTTAAAGTATACCTAACATAGATGATAGTTGAATAATTAAGCAGTACAGATTTAAAGATTGGTAGGTTTGAAAGTTAGCATAATGCATATGTTGAAGTTATGGTATTATATGTTTTTGCTCTTGTTTTCTATTTTATAGAGTGAATCTTTGGTGGTTTGTGATGTTGCTGAAGATTTAGTGGAAAAACTGAGAAAGTTTCGTTTTCGCAAAGAAACAAACAATGCTGCCATTATAAGTAAGCTAAATGGTTACCTCAAAGCTATGATCTATGTTTTCTTTCTCTTACTTTTTAGCTTCACTGGATAAACTGGGCCTTCCAAAAGTAATGTTGCCTCTGCCTATTAGACCCCCTTCCAGCCCTCCACGTACTACCCTTTTTTTTTGGTACTGGGGATCGAACTCGGGTCCTTGCACTTGCAAGGCAGGCGGCAGAACCACTGAGCTAAATACCCGGCCCCTCCACGTACTACCTTTAAAAATTAAGAAACAGCTAACTGATGTTGCAAGACAGGTGGGCTGTCCCATCTCCCCCATACTCCTTTCCTCAGCTGCTTACATAGCTCCGGAAAGGATGATCTTCTTGGTCTTGGGAGCGAGAATCCCCACTTGTGACCCATCCCACCTGTCCTTCTCAGGACTGAAAATAGCCTAGGAATTCATCCTCACACAGAAGCCTTTGCTTCCATCGAAATTGGTAACATTCACCGTGTGTCCAGAGTGACTGGGCCTTAGGCCACTTCTAGACCTGAGTTGTCCTTTCTCGGAGAGTGCTTGTCACCGTCTTCTGAAAGTGGAAAGAATGATTTACATGTTGCCTCACCCTCTATGAGCCGTGTCTGAGGCTGTGCACATTTCCTTTCTTTCCTATTTAATATGTGGATAATGATTTAAAGATGAAGGGGTGAAAGTGTAAAACTGTGTAGACCGTGCTTAGGTGGTAACACCTTGTCATGAATTCTAGTTCTGTTTCAAATAAACACTGTCACTTGGGCATATGGTTCTTGAATGTAAAAATATCTGGCAGTGCCATTTTACCACCCAAGGTGAAGCTATTTGAAACCATACTGCATTTCACAGGGCTTACTGAATTAGTGCAAAACCAAATATAGTCACATTAGTGAAATTAGTACAAAACCAAGCATGGTCACCTTTTCAGACGAGAGGGAAAAGAATCGAGGTGTAGATGATCTAAACTTACTTTGATTTGGCTTAGGATCATGTCCGATATATTTGATTATAGGTATTAGTGCTGTTAGGTAATTCACTTTCTGAGAATAACAACAGAGCACTGTGAAATTCTGACTCTGAAGAAGCTGGGCTCTCCGGTCCTGACCCGGGGCCTGCTTTTCATTCGTAATGGTGACTGCATGGCACAGGGAGCATTGTCTGTCACAGTTGCCTTCGCAGTCCTTTTCTTACCTAGGAAATCACATTTGAGTTAGGAGTCTTCCTATTCAGAGTAGATGTAAGGAGCTGGCAGTCTTTAAGTTCTAAATAAGCAAAATAGCTGCTGGGAATTATGGGCAAAAGCTTAAAAGCCGATGGTTTAAAAAGCAAAACCAGCTAATAGACCTAAAATAAAGCTGCAAGTGAGTTTTGTGCTTGTGTTTCTTTTCTTTTTTTTTTTCCCCCCAGCTTTACTTGAGTTTATTGGTACATTTTAGGGATACAGTACAGTTACAGTTACATTCATTGTTGGCAACTTGTACCTCTACATGACAAGTCTTGGTTCTCATTTTTACCCCTTGTCCCTGCCCTCCCTTCACCCCCTCCCCTCCTCCCCATCTACAACCACTTTATATGCTTGTGTTTCTTAATGTTTTAACTTCAGATGTCCCTCAGAGGGCCGAGACCGAGGATTGGGTAGATCAGAGTCACAGTGGAATCACAGTTTACTCATTTTGTATTTTTGTTCTAGTGAAGATTGACAAGGACAAACGCCTGGTGGTTCTGGATGAGGAACTTGAGGTTTGTTCAATGAAATGAATATTTTTATAGTTAGAAATCACTGTTCAAAAGATGCTTTAGTAATTACGTGCACTTTTGTTTGTTTTGTTTTTTTTGTTTTTTTTTTTTTTTTTTT